ATCCTTTTTTCTATGAGATTCTATTTTTTTTTAAAAGTTTATGTATTTAAAATTGATTAAAAATCATAACTACATCCCGAGTTCCCATCCCCTGTTGTTTTATATAAGAATATTCGAGAAAGTTTAGGGGAGATCACTCCCGGTTTATTTTAAATTTATTCACTAATTTTTTTAAAAATTCCTAATTTAGTAATTTAACCAATATCATAACAAAATATATCCATTTAGAGATAAACCACATTAAAATAACGCATTAACTTATTTAAGAACAGAAAAAGCATTTTAAAATAAATGTTTAATACTCCTTTTTGGCCCCAGAAAATCGTAAAAAGAGAAACTTCAAATCTAGCGTGCTGTCAAGAATGACTGAAATACAGAAGCTTAATCCTGTGTTCCGTTAATCAGAACCTTTATTTAAATATTTATATTATTAATTTAGTCTTCATTTCAAAATAATAATTAAGAAAAGCAAATGTTTGGATGCCCATTTCCTTACATAAAAATTATAATGTTAAAACACAAGCAGAACAAATTTTCAACAGGCTTGATATATATATATATATATATATTTATACTAGCGGTCCCGACCAGGCCCTGCACGGTACATATGGACAAATGAGAAATAATATATAGACCCAACTCTAACCCTAACCACAACCAACCACTATCACAACCACAACCAAAAAGACAAACATATATGTAAACCTAAACCTAAAATGTTAACTTAAACGTGACCTTTATTTTAACCGTAACCGTAAACGTTAATTATAATCCTCACAACGACCTTAACCTCAGACATACGGAAAAAAACAAACTTAAACATAAACGGACCTTAACCATAGCCTCACCCACAAACATATACATAAATATAAATCATTTCTCCTACTCACGCTTCTACAATCGCATAAACACAAACGTAAACATAAATATTAATATATGCCCTATTCCTTCCCTGCACTTTTACGACTAAAAAATACAATCAAATAAACACCAATGCAAACACAAACAACACAAACGGATACAAAAATAAAAAGGCAAACACAAAAACAAACATAATTCTAACCTTCACCACAACTCATCCTCGAACATAAACACAAAAATTGACATGAACAAAAACATAAATAAAAACATAAAAAAACCATCCCTCACTACAACCTCAACCTAAACTACAAGCATGTACATATAATATACATATAAATAAACATAAACCCTCTGTTATTCCCGTACTTCTAAGCCTAATAAAGCAACCGCATAAACATAAAGAATTATTCTTACCAAAACCTCAACCTGAAACCTAAACACAAACATTAACACAAAAATAAATAAAAACCATAACCACGATTTTATTTAGCATGCTTAGGAAAAAAAGATTTTTCTTTCACATAAATATTACCCACCGAAGTCAGCGGTGCATCTTCGCAAACAGAGGTCAGCCAGAATAAGTGTATTGTGCTTAATCTTTTATTTATAAGAATAAGAAATGGCAAACTACCCGCTCCACCAATCTAAGCTAATATACTTCGCTATAATTACCATCAAAACGGTAGTTTCTATACACAGTGCTTCTGCGTGAATATTCAATAAATACTATTTTACTGTCTTGTGTATTATGAACTTTCACAATGTATAGGTGTGTAGGCTGAGCGTATCTAGACATGTTTGAGTTGTGACACTTCTGATGAAGTCGAATCCATCTGCACTTTTTAACGTATTACATGTTGTGTGCTAACGATGGCTATATTGATATTGATCAAACAAAGTTGCAATTCACCTACATTTCATAAAACACACCAAATGTAAAAATAGTGATGTCACTCTCCTTGAACCGTTATCTCCCTACCCCACCCGTCCCACCCAATTAATACAACACACTTAAGGATACGTACCACATATGAAAAATAAACCGGGAGTGATCTCCCCTAAACTTTCTCGGATATTCTAATATAAAACTACGACGGATGGTAACTTAGGACATAGACTATATCTGTAATCCATTTTTAATTACTTAAACTTTTTATAATAGAATGGAATCTCGTAAAAAAAGAATTGCACACCAAGTGAATGCCTTATAAAATGTGCATAATAGTGCGGGATATTATTAGTACTTTATAAATTTACGTGCGTTTTTGAGAAATCGGAAATAGCGTAAACTAGTACTTCCGGTCAACAGAAATTACTCAAAATTTAACAAATGGTAGAGAATTAGATCTTTACTTACTTGTAAAATTTTATTTATGTATCTGAAAAAGTACGCAAGTTATAGGCTTTTGAAAAATTCAAAGTAGAAAAAGTACCACTTCCGGTTATCGGAAATCGCCCAAAAGTTGATACGGATCTACGATTTTGATAAAATACTTGTATATGAAATTTTATCAACCTAGCTGTAACGGCACTCAAGTAATCGTGTTTACAAACAGACACACACACACACACACACAGACAGTAAGTCTTGTAATCGTGCAAAAAAAAATCGATATTTTTACAAATCTCTACGTTTTACACCTCACTGATACGGAAAAACATAATTTTGCAATCTTGTCCGTATGTCTGTGTCTGTCTGTGTGTGTGTGTGTGTGTGTGTGTCCGTTTGTAAACACGATAACTTGAGTACCATTACAGCTAGGTTGATGAAATGTCATATATAAGTATTTTATCAAAATCGTATCAACTTTTGAGCGATTTCCGATAAACGGAAGTGGTACTTTTTCTACTTTGAATTTTTCAAAAGCCTATAACTTGATTACTAATTCAGATAGATAAATGAAATTTCACATGTAAGTAAAAGATTTAATTCTCTACCTTCAATCAAATTTTGAGTAATTTCCGTTGAACGGAACTACTAATTTACGCTATTTCCGATTTCTCAAAAAACGCATGCAAATTTATAAAGTACTAATAATATTGCGCACTATTACGCACATTTGGTTTTGGTGCTCGCTTGGTGCGCAATTTTTTTTCTACTAGATTTTATTCTATTTTTAAACGTTTAAGTAAACAAAAATCATGTCGATATTCCGAGTTGACATCCCAAGTAGTGTTATATTAGAATATTCGAGAAAGTTTAGGGGAGATCACTCCCGGTTTATTTTTCTTTTAAACTATGCAATTCTACATTATTTTTTTTTTTAATTTTATAATAGAATGCATTTTACTTTCTTGTAATCGATGTATAGAGGAAGTCTTGTAATCGTGCTACAAAATAGCGGGCTTTTTACAAATCTCGACGTTTTCCACCAGCCTGAGTCGAAAAAACATAGTTTTGCAATTTTGTCCATATGTCTGTGTGTATGTGTGTGTATGTGTATATGTGTGTCTGTGAACACGTTTACTTGAGTACCGTTACAGATAGTTTGATGAAATTTCATATGCAAGTATTATATCAAATATGTAGTTCTGTATCAACTTTTCAGCTATTTCCGATAATCAGCAGTGGAACTTTTTCTGCTTTCAATTTTTAAAAGCATATAACTTGTGTACTGTTTCAGATAGGTAAATGAATATTTATATGTAAGTAACAGCTCCAATTCTCTGCCTCCTCACAAATTTTGAGAAATGTCCGTTAAACGGAAGTAGTCATTTACGCTATTTCCAATTTCATAAAAACGCATGTGAATTTATAGTACTAATAATATTCCGCACTATTATACACATTGTTTGGGGTTCACTTGGTGCGCATTTCTATTTTCTTCGAGATTATATTCTATTTAAGTAATTTAAGTAATTAAAAATGGAGACATATCCCGAGTTGCCACCCCCTATAGTGTTATATGAGACTATTCGAGAAAGTTTAGGGGAGCTCACTCTCGGTTTATTAATGCAAACTTTTACATAACACTTCTTACGAAAATGAGGGTGTGGTGATATTATTAATATATCTTATGTAGCGTAGTAATTTAAATTTACAAAAGTAGTGTTGTAAGTGCTATAATATATGAGAAAAAGGGTTGCAAAGACTTAATAGTTGGTATTTTGGGTAAAAATGCAAAGTTGAGAAAAAGTGAAAAGAATGGTGGAAAAGGGCACTAGGTGTTTCCTCTTATAGAAAACAGAAAAAAATAGTTCTTATTCTGTGTGGAAGAGCCATTTGACTAATAAAATACGTGTTAATTTATGTTGTAAAGTTTTAGATGTATTTTTCTATGTTAGCAGAAAATATGTATACAACAGGTAATGAGTTGATAACTTTTAAGTAATACATATCCTATTAGTAGAGTGTTATTATCAGAACAACTATTTAACAAACCAGATTACGTTCTTCTTGAACGACGCTAGTCTCACATCAATAAAATGTTTATCACTACTTAAATTGTAACTTACACAAGTTCATTACCTCTTGATAATTAACTACTATACTTTCCTGTGTACATCGCTGGAGGCTAGATACACCCCCACTTCACTCATACGCACTCCTCCCTACCACTTGATAGTGTGTGAAGATCCGATTAGCCATACATTATTTAAGTTCATTCAACCTTGATAAAATATCCGTGTAGTTAGCGTAAGGCACTATTTTTTCGTTCGCTGCATAAGTGAATGCTTATCAGCTTTTCCATCTAGTATGCCTATTTACATCCGTTGCTAGGAAATTCTACACAGAGTATTAACACATTGCAGTCCGATATAAAGTCTGATCAGCCCGTTCAAAGCCTATGACATAATGATGTAACAAGATTATAATCTGGCAATTGATTGATTGACGAGCAGGGGATGAAGGGGTTGGGCTTTGTTAAATTTTTCAAACTAACAGACATATTAAAACGTACTTAACATTGTTTAATAATCTAGCAATGACAATCAAAGTTGAGAATCAACTGTACATTTCTTGACAAAGTTTGAAATATTAACCTAAATGTTATTGCATAAATTTTAAAACAACAAATTAAACAGTAGTATATGCAAATAAAACAAACAAATGAAGAAAGGCGATGTTTTGTTTATGTAATAACAAGATGGCTACCTAGCCCACGTGGTTAGGCGCAACCTATCATGAATTTTTTTTAATTTACTGTCGTGTAATATGATTGGTGAAGCGTATCAATGAATCCCTTCCCATTCAATATTTGTATGTCCATGCACTTATATTGAGTTTGACCTCACATTTTACTTTGTAGAAATGTTTTTCCTACTTAGTTTTAGAACAAAGGAAAATATATTCAATACATATACATTTTTAAAGCGACCACCGCTTGTATTTTTGCTTATATAGAAAGTAGTTAAGTCTTATTTATTTGCAGAGATTCTTTTGTTTTATCCCGTTTAGTACATTATTGCACACACGCTTGTTATTAAAACGTTTTTATGCATTTAAAAATTATTGTGGCTGGATGAATTCACCTGACAATAAAAAATGTGAATTTCTCCTAAAATAAATTTTAATCTTAATATTTTAAACAATAATATATAACTACTATATAAGTCAAGATTATAATTCAATAACCTTAAATACTATTTAACACTCCCACCCCTCTAAGTTTAAGTTAACAAAGATAACATGTGTTACATCATAAATAACAAAATAACATAAACATTTACGTCCGTGTTTCGTGATAGTGTCCCATAATAGGGCCCTTCGTGTAACAATCTACTTGGGGCCAAGTGCTGCTAACGACAAACTTATTGGAAGGTTGATGTACTTTTGATATAACAAAGTAGTAAAAATAATTGTTGTTTCTCAACTTTGTATTACACAAAAATAGTGTAATTCCACACGTTTTAAATATATGTTGCACTTAATAAAAAAACATATTTAAGAAGATATAAAATTACTTAGACAGTATTTTCTGTTTTTCTGCCATTTTGATAAGTCTGGAAAATCAGCGCTGTAGCTCTTTTATAAAAGAAAATTATTCACTAAATACATGTAAATACAACAGTCTAACCACATTTAATACATTGAAATATAATTTGTTTTTCAAACAGTAAAGTTGTTAATAATTTTAAGCAATTTTTTCTAGCGTGTAATATATATATATATATATATATATATATATATATATATATATATATATATATATATATATATATACATACATATATATGTATATATAATTCTATATATTTAATTTTATTATTTGATTTGTATTTCATTATTTAGAGAACGTCACGGCAACACTGCAGACTACTATAGCTTTTGAAATAAATAAAGTTGCTGTAAGCAATATGGAATCAATGAAACAGGTAAACGGTAGTTTAAATAAATAAATAAATAAATAAATATATATATATATATATATATTTATATATATATATATATATATATATATATATATATATATATATATATATATACATATATATATATATATATATATATATATATATATATATATATATATATATATATATATATATATATATATTTACTAGCCGCTTACCCGTGCTTCGCCACGGTCAGTCATTCTTTAAACGTACCAAATGAACACAAATACAAAGGAAAACATGCGAACAAAAAAAACGCAATTAAAAAACACCAACACAAAAGCAGAAACCCAACGCAAACGTAATACTCAATCACAAACGCAAAGACAAATACAAACAAAAAAGAAAGCACAATCTTAACACAAACGCAAACAGAAACAAAATCGCAAACACAACTCAAACAGAAAAGAAAACGCAAACACAAACGTAAACGTAAACACAAAACACAATCGGAAACACAAATACAAACAAAAAAGAAAACAAACGTAAAGCGCCAAACCGTGTATTGACGAAAATTGTACCCTACATGGCGCCGCCCATAAAAAACTTTAGTTTTCTTCTTCGCAGAAATATTCTCGAGAGTATTCTCATCTACTCCCTAAAGTTTCATGGCAATCGGTTGAACCGCATCCGAGTTTTATTTCTTATATACCGTGTATAGAGAAAAAAATCGCTTCCCCCCGGGAGCGCCGCCCTTGCAATATTAAAAAAATATTTTTGTTTGCAGAACCCTACCATTGAGTGGTCTAATCATCTCCCCAAAGTTTCCTGGTACACGGATGAACGGTGTGAAACCAAAATAGACTTTTATTTATATAAACCGTATATAGAGAAAAATCGCACCATTCCGTGGCGCCGCCCTTGCGAAATTTAAAAAAAAAAGATTTTTTAAATTGAAACCTTCCCTGGAGTGTTCTAATCAATTCCCCAAAGTTTGATGGCGATCGGATGAACGTTGTGAGACCGCAATCGACTTAATATTATATACCATATAGAGAGAGAGAAAACAAATCGCGCCCTGCCATGGCGCCACCCCTGCGAATTTGAAAATGTTTTTAGCGCAGAAACCTCAACATCTTTCCAAAGTTTCATGGCGATCGTGTGAACGGTGTCACCGCAATTCACTTTTATTATTTTTTTATACCGTATATAGAGAAAAAACACAACCTTACGTGGCGCAGCCCTTGCGAAATTAAAACTGATTTTTTTACAAAACCCTTACCCAAGGTGTCTCAATCAACTCCCCCAAAGTCTTATGGCTATCGGATCAAGGTTTCCCACCGAAGAAACACTGCACCAAAATCGACTTTTATTTTTATATACCGTATATAGAAAAAATCGCAACCTCCCGTGGCGCTGCCCTTGCGAAATTAAAAATGATTTTTTACAGAACCCTTCCCTAGAGTTTTATATTGAACTCCGCAAACTGTCATGCCTATCGGATGAACGGTGTCATTGCAATTCACTTTTATTATTTTTATATACCGTATATAGAGAAAAAACAAATCGTGCCCTGCCGGGGCGCCACTCCTGCGAATTTGAATTTTTTTTTTCCGCAGAAACCTCCACAGGAATATTCTTAACAACTTCCCAAAGTTCGACGGCGATGTGTTAAGAGGTGTGGTAATGCATAAAAGACACACAGACAGCCAGACAGCCAGACAGGCACACACACATACATTGCTTTATATATATATATATATATATATATATATATATATATATATATATATATATATATATATACAGGGGCGTAGCGAGGGGGGGGCGCGGGGGGTGCGGACCGCACCGGGTGACACCATTTAGGGGGGTGACACCAAGGCAAAAAAGAGCAAAATATATAGAGAAAAACTTGAGGGGGGTGGGGGGGGGGGTTCAAATCGAAAATTTGAGGGGGGTGGGTGCAAATCAATAACTTGAGGGGGGGTGTAAATCGAAAGTTTGATGGGGGGGGGTGCAAATCGAAAACTTGAAAGTTAGTCACCGGGAAGGGTCGCAACGCCTCTGGGGCGGTGACACCATTAAGTGCCGCACCGGGTGACACCCGACCTCGCTACGCCACTGTATATATATATATATATATATATATATATATATATATATATATATATATATATATATATATAATATTACTTCACTTATTACATCATCAGTTTCAGAATTCAGATGGGAAAGATGTTTTGTTTTGTGAAATTAAAAGTAAAGTAAAAACAAATTAATGTCACAAATTAACTTTCTCATATGCATTGCAGTATTTTTGCATATTTATATCACAAAATGAAATCGGAGACCGTAGGTCTTTTATCATTTCCAGGTACAATCAGCTCTACAAAACTTTTCAAATCTTGGTAAGTCGATTTCGCTTTCACTAAAGGCGATAATTCAAATTGTTATATATTCATGTTAGATTAAAAAAAAACTATTTTTTCTAAAGTAAGAAAAATTATTTTACCAATTTTAAGATATAGGCATATAATGCTTAACGTTTAAATACATGTATGTGGTAAAACGCATTCAACACCACTAGCACCTACATTTTTATCCAGACATGTTAGACCTTTGTGTTAAAACAATAAGTTTTAAGACAGGGGCATTTTATAAATTGATCAATAAAAGTTTTATTGAAGTTGTGAATGAACTTATTACACACAAATTCAGATTATACAAAACATAAAGGTGAACAGGCTAGCCGCTAGCACGGTATCACAGCTCATCCAAGAGGAGTCTGAAGAGGATGAAGAAGAGATTGATGAGACTGGTGTTGAACAAAAGGATATTGAACTCGTCATGTCTCAGGCCAATGTTTCTAAAGCCAAGGATGTCAAAGCACTTAAAAATAATAACAATGATATCGTCAATGCTATTTTGGAATTGAGGGTGTAACCCTCCCCCCCCCCTGTATATGTGTGTGACAATTGGACCTTTGTATTTGAGCTGTATTGTTAGAATGATACCTAATTTTAATAAATAAATAAACACGTTTAAAAAAATACAGAACATAACAGTACAGTTCTTTTAATGTAAGGGCGTTGTAGAAATAACAACATATTTACATCACCACATAGTATAGTATTCGCATTTTGTCTTTGCAAATATTAGTAAGTAGTAAGTTAAGTTCCATTTAAACCTGACGGTCTACGGAGCAAGTATAAAGAGATAGTAAGGTCAGCAGAATGCCAAGCCGCCTTTACTTACCCTAAAATAAGTTAGGTACCCATTAGAGTTGGATGGAACCAGAGACTGTCGCCTGCCTTAAAACCGGATTAGAACTCGAGAGTTACGGGTTAGATGTCCAGCTCTATACCGCTAGGCCACTTCGTCCCATTTTGTAAATATTACACATTTGCATAATTTATATATCTATACATCTGTCTATCTATTTATCTCTATATCTCTATATCTCTATATCTCTATATCTCTATATCTCTATATCTCTATATCTCTATATCTCTATATCTCTATATCTCTATATTTCTATATTTCTATATCTCTATATCTCTATATCTCTATATTTCTATATCTATATATTTCTATATTTCTATATCTCTATATCTCTATATCTCTATATTTCTATATCTCTATATCTCTATATCTCTATATTTCTATATCTCTATATTTCTATATTTCTATATCTCTATATCTCTATATCTCTATATCTCTGTATCTCTATATCTCTATATCTCTATATTTCTATATTTCTATATCTCTATATCTCTATATCTCTATATTTCTATATCTCTATATTTCTATATTTCTATATCTCTATATCTCTATATCTCTATATCTCTATATCTCTATATCTCGATATCTCTGTATCTCTGTATCTCTGTATATCTGTATCTCTGTATCTCTTTGTCTCTATGTCTCTATGTCTCTATGTCTCTATGTCTCTATGTCTCTATGTCTCTATGTCTCTATGTCTCTATGTCTCTATGTCTCTATGTCTCTATGTCTCTATGTCTCTATGTCTCTATGTCTCTATGTCTCTATGTCTCTATGTCTCTATGTCTCTATGTCTCTATGTCTCTATGTCTCTATGTCTCTATGTCTCTATGTCTCTATGTCTCTATGTCTCTATGTCTCTATGTCTCTATGTCTCTATGTCTCTATGTCTCTATGTCTCTATGTCTCTATGTCTCTATGTCTCTATGTCTCTATGTCTCTATGTCTCTATGTCTCTATGTCTCTATGTCTCTATGTCTCTATGTCTCTATGTCTCTATGTCTCTATGTCTCTATGTCTCTATGTCTCTATGTCTCTATGTCTCTATGTCTCTATGTCTCTATGTCTCTATGTCTCTATGTCTCTATGTCTCTATGTCTCTATGTCTCTATGTCTCTATGTCTCTATGTCTCTATGTCTCTATGTCTCTATGTCTCTATGTCTCTATGTCTCTATGTCTCTATGTCTCTATGTCTCTATGTCTCTATGTCTCTATGTCTCTATGTCTCTATGTCTCTATGTCTCTATGTCTCTATGTCTCTATGTCTCTATGTCTCTATGTCTCTATGTCTCTATGTCTCTATGTCTCTATGTCTCTATGTCTCTATGTCTCTATGTCTCTATGTCTCTATGTCTCTATGTCTCTATGTCTCCATGTCTCCATGTCTCCATGTCTCCATGTCTCCATGTCTCCATGTCTCCATGTCTCCATGTCTCCATGTCTCTATGTCTCTATGTCTCTATGTCTCTATGTCTCTATGTCTCTATGTCTCTATGCCTCTATGCCTCTATGCCTCTATGTCTCAATGTCTCTATGTCTCTATGTCTCTATGTCTCTATGTCTCTATGTCTCTATGTCTCTATGTCTCTATGTCTCTATGTCTCTATGTCTCTATGTCTCTATGTCTCTATGTCTCTATGTCTCTATGTCTCTATGTCTCTATGTCTCTATGTCTCTATGTCTCTATGTCTCTATGTCTCTATGTCTCTATGTCTCTATGTCTCTATGTCTCTATGTCTCTATGTCTCTATGTCTCTATGTCTCTATGTCTCTATGTCTATGTCTATGTCTATGTCTATGTCTATGTCTATGTCTATGTCTATGTCTATGTCTATGTCTATGTCTATGTCTATGTCTATGTCTATGTCTATGTCTATGTCTATGTCTATGTCTATGTCTATGTCTATGTCTATGTCTATGTCTATGTCTATGTCTATGTCTATGTCTATGTCTATGTCTATGTCTATGTCTATGTCTATGTCTATGTCTATGTCTATGTCTATGTCTATGTCTATGTCTATGTCTATGTCTATGTCTATGTCTATGTCTATGTCTATGTCTATGTCTATGTCTATGTCTATGTCTATGTCTATGTCTATGTCTATGTCTATGTCTATGTCTATGTCTATGTCTATGTCTATGTCTATGTCTATGTCTATGTCTATGTCTATGTCTATGTCTATGTCTATGTCTATGTCTATGTCTATGTCTATGTCTATGTCTATGTCTATGTCTATGTCTATGTCTATGTCTATGTCTATGTCTATGTCTATGTCTATGTCTATGTCTATGTCTATGTCTATGTCTATGTCTATGTCTATGTCTATGTCTATGTCTATGTCTATGTCTATGTCTATGTCTATGTCTATGTCTATGTCTATGTCTATGTCTATGTCTATGTCTATGTCTATGTCTATGTCTATGTCTATGTCTATGTCTATGTCTATGTCTATGTCTATGTCTATGTCTATGTCTATGTCTATGTCTATGTCTATGTCTATGTCTATGTCTATGTCTATGTCTATGTCTATGTCTATGTCTATGTCTATGTCTATGTCTATGTCTATGTCTATGTCTATGTCTATGTCTATGTCTATGTCTATGTCTATGTCTGTGTCTGTGTCTGTGTCTGTGTCTGTGTCTGTGTCTGTGTCTGTGTCTGTGTCTGTGTCGGTGTCTACATCTACATCTACATCTACATCTACATCTACATCTACATCTACATCTACATCTACATCTACATCTACATCTACATCTACATCTACATCTACATCTACATCTACATCTTCATCTACATCTACATCTACATCTACATCTACATCTACATCTACATCTACATCTACATCTACATCTACATCTACATCTACATCTACATCTACATCTACATCTACATCTACATCTACATCTACATCTACATCTACATCTACATCTACATCTACATCTACATCTACATCTACATCTACATCTACATCTACATCTACATCTACATCTACATCTACATCTACATCTACATCTACATCTACATCTACATCTACATACATCTACATCTACATCTACATCTACATCTACATCTACATCTACATCTACATCTACATCTACATCTACATCTACATCTACATCTACATCTACATCTACATCTACATCTACATCTACATCTACATCTACATCTACATCTACATCTACATCTACATCTACATCTACATCTACATCTACATCTACATCTACATCTACATCTACATCTACATCTACATCTACATCTACATCTACATCTACATCTACATCTACATCTACATCTACATCTACATCTACATCTACATCTACATCTACATCTACATCTACATCTACATCTACATCTACATCTACATCTACATCTACATCTACATCTACATCTACATCTACATCTACATCTACATCTACATCTACATCTACATCTACATCTACATCTACATCTACATCTACATCTACATCTACATCTACATCTACATCTACATCTACATCTACATCTACATCTACATCTACATCTACATCTACATCTACATCTACATCTACATCTACATCTACATCTACATCTACATCTACATCTACATCTACATCTACATCTACATCTACATCTACATCTACATCTAATCTACATCTAATCTACATCTAATCTACATCTACATCTACATCTACATCTACATCTACATCTACATCTACATCTACATCTACATCTACATCTACATCTACATCTACATCTACATCTACATCTACATCTACATCTACATCTACATCTACATCTACATCTACATCTACATCTACATCTACATCTACATCTACATCTACATCTACATCTACATCTACATCTACATCTACATCTACATCTACATCTACATCTACATCTACATCTACATCTACATCTACATCTACATCTACATCTACATCTACATCTACATCTAATCTACATCTAATCTACATCTAATCTACATCTACATCTACATCTACATCTACATCTACATCTACATCTACATCTACATCTACATCTACATCTACATCTACATCTACATCTACATCTACGTCTACGTCTACGTCTACGTCTACGTCTACGTCTACGTCTACGTCTACGTCTACGTCTACGTCTACGTCTACGTCTACGTCTACGTCTACATCTACGTCTACGTCTACGTCTACGTCTACGTCTACGTCTACGTCTACGTCTACGTCTACGTCTACGTCTACGTCTACGTCTACGTCTACGTATACGTCTACGTATACGTATACGTATACGTATACGTATACGTCTACGTATACGTCTACGTCTACGTCTACGTCTACGTCTGCATCTACGTCTACGTCTACGTCTACATCTACATCTACATCTACATCTACATCTACATCTACATCTACATCTACATCTACATCTACATCTACATCTACATCTACATCTACATCTACATCTACATCTACATCTACATCTACATCTACATCTACATCTACATCTACATCTACATCTACATCTACATCTACATCTACATCTACATCTTCATCTACATCTACATCTACATCTACATCTACATCTTTATCTACATCTACATCTACATCTACATCTACATCTACATCTACATCTACATCTACATCTACATCTACATCTACATCTACATCTACATCTACATCTACATCTACATCTACATCTACATCTACATCTACATCTACATCTACATCTACATCTACATCTACATCTACATCTACATCTACATCTACATCTACATCTACATCTACATCTACATCTACATCTACATCTACATCTACATCTACATCTACATCTACATCTACATCTACATCTACATCTACATCTACATTTTCATCTAGTTCTACATCTACATCTACATCTGTATATCTATATCTGCCTGCCTGCCAGCCTGTCTGCCTTTCACCATCCCTGCCTACCTACCTACCTACCTACCTACCTTCCTACCTACCTACCTACCTACCTACCTACCTACCTACCTACGAAATTTTATAAACCGTATATAGAGAAAAATCGCACCCTCCCGTGTACAGAACCCTTCCCTAGAGTTTTATAATGAACTCCTTAAAGTCTCATGCTTATCGGATTAACGGTGTCATTGCAATTCACTTTTATTATTTTTATATACCGTAAATAGAGAAAAATTGAACGCTCCCGTGGCGACGCCCTTGCGAAATTAAACATTATTTTTGTACAGAACCCTTTCCTGGAGTGGTATAATGAACTCCCCAAAGTCTCATGGCTATCGGATGAACGATGCCAACGCAAAATCGACTTTTATTTTTATATACCGTATACAGAAAAAAACACCACCCCTATCAATTTGAAATATTTTTTTTCGCAGAAATCTCCCCATGAATATTCTCAACAACTTCCTAAAGTTTCATAGCGATTGTGTGAACGGTGTCAAGGCAATTCACTTTTATTATTTTTATATACCGTATATAGAGAAAAAATCGCACCCTCCCGTGGCGCCGCCCTTGCGAAATTAAAAATGATTTTTCTACAGAACCCTTCCCTAGAGTGTTCTAATCAACTCCCCAAAGTTTCATGCCTATCGGATAAACAGTGTGAA